GGAGTGACTTATTACTGTCATTACCTCACTAAGTGACTAGGAAGCCTGACTCAGTCAGGGCTCTGGTGTGATCTTTTCACTAGTATTTCATCAGCCATCCCTCCTCAGGGCCTCCTAGAAGGTAAATTCAAACTTTCCCCACCAGGACTAAGGTCAAAACAGGCTCCTTTGTTCAGTCTATGGTCTGAAGTATCTCTGGCTCGTTTGTCCACAGGATGACTCATAACTTCCTGAAGAGCTCTGCCACTAATCTGCTGCAGGTGCTCAAAGGCACACATCTATGTGTCACCTCCACCCTGAAGGGACACCTGTAGAATCTGGGTTTCAGGCACATCCAGAGAGCTCGTGGATTGGAAAACCAGCTCAGCATATGCCCACGGGGAGACCTGCTGTGCTTCTGTTAGCAGCAGCAGGACTGCACACCTGGGCACAGAACCAGCTGCTGCGCTTGTGGCTGGCAGCCACCGATTGCTCTGACCCTCGTGTCCCAGCCTGCTGGCTACTCTGGTTAAATGAGCACATGGGACAGACTTCTAAATATCCACTGAGCTTACCAGCAACTCCAGGCTAAGATAACATCACAGTGACCCAGAGTGATACAAACATTTAAATCCACTGCCCATTTTCACATGCCATTAAGATTGGTATACTGTCCAGATGGTGATAACCAGTTAAAATTGTTCCGTTTGTCACGATGATGCAAGGGATAGAATTTTTCCGTTTTGCAGAGAAGAAAACTGAGCTTTAGTTTATGTAACTTGCTCAGAGTCCCAGAGCAGGCACCCTGCAGTGCTGAACCAGGTTGTGTTACTTTTGTGTCAACAAAGAAAAGGGGCAAAATACTCATGGCTGAAATCTCCCCCCTCCTCTTTACCCTGACCTACCTCATATGTCTGAAAGTTGTCTCTGGAGACAGGTGAGCAACTAGCCAATACCCACCCCCCTTTCTACAAACATCTGTTCCTCTCCTCATGCTGCCGAGGTCACACAAGGGCTCACCCTGTGCCTGGCTCTGCGCTTGGCACTAGGCAAGATTGACTCCTGTCCTCCAGAAGCTGAAAGTCTTATACCTTAACCGGCTCAGCTACTGAACAATTGAATATCGATGTCCATCTATAACCTTTCTGAAAACAGAAGAACTTGCCTTGGGAGAGTGAGCATTCTGTCACAAGGAGTATTTAAGCCCTTTGGCTTTTAGTTAGGACAGCTCTTCCTCAAGGGCACGACAAAATCTGCCTCCCTTGGGTTCTCCCCATAGTAAGCCCAGAAATATCTCACCCTTCGTTCTCCGGTTGTCCTTGGGCCATCTGAGGAGAGCTATGTGGCTGTCCCTTGGGCCCTAATACTCTAGGAAGGTGCTGTCAGCCCCCCAACCCAGCTGCATGAGGATGGGGTGGGGGCTACACTCACCACCCCTAGCTGTTCTCTGAGCACTTTCCAGTCTATGTCCCTATGTCTGGGGTCCAAATCTGAGTCTGAGCAGCTCTGAGTAAAAACATAAACACCGTATTGCTACTGGGGCTGGCGCAGACCACAGTCACCTGCGAGGTTATGAAATAAACATTGGTTTTCATCCAAAGCATTAAAAAAAATTTTTCTATGAAATGCCAAAAATGATATAATGACTAATAAGACCTGCATGAAAATAGAACTGGCTTAAAAATAGGGTGTCTTCCTCTTGTGATTTACATTAATGACAAAGAGGAAGTCTGTTTTCGGAGAACTATGGATATTTATCAGCTGGTCAGGATGGTAGATTATGTTTACATAATAACAAAGGGAAGTATGACAGATGCGGCCTGATACAAGGGAAGGAACACCAGACTGAAAGTCAAGCTCTTGTCCCTACACTGCACAGAATACCTGTGTGTAGGTCACTTTCCTCCCAGCCAGTTGTGGGCTGTGGGAGTCCATGAGCTGCTCCGCCCACAGAGGTCACCGTCCCACACACAGTGCTCAGGGAAGCTTCTTAAACGAGAGCAAAGCCGTCCATACCCTCCAGGACGCAGGCACCTTCTTGGCTTGCCAGGGCTCTTTGGGACACTCCGGTCCAAGAGAAGAAAATTCACTAGAAAAGCTTGAGATGCTTTTCCTGACAAAAATGATGAAGCAGCAGAAACGGCTTTTGATGGGGTACCCCCCACCAAAATTCTTTCTGAACTAAGCAGGGCAGACAAATCCAGAGCTGATCCCAGCTCAGCTTCGGACCCGAAGGAGGGGACAGACAGCTCCAGGCAATCCTGCAGGAAGGACGGTAGGCGGCAGGTATGGAGAGTGAGTGTATCCGGGACGGAGGGTGCTGTCACCCTGCAGAAGTGGGTCAAGAAAGTGGGTTCCCAGAACAATCGGACATGCGGGGAGCAGACAGAGCGGGCCTGGACCCCCACATGGACGGGGGCCACCCACGCTGAAGCTAATCCATACAACTGCCAGCACACAGCAGATGTGCCAAAGCAGGAGTTAACCCAATCCTACGAGGTTCCAGAGGGCGGTGCTGCCAACACTCTGTCCAGATTAGGTAACGGAGGTCTCATGACTTCTCACCTAGCTGTTACATCAGAAAAAAGCAGCATTTCCTCCCAAAGTTGGCAGAGTCCTTCTCCAGGGTTCACAAATTGCCAAGAAACACTGGTTTCTGGGAACTAATGCCAAAACTCAAAACTCCAGCCATAGCTTTTCTAGCCCGGCAGTTTTTGCTACCACCACCCTCCTCCAGAATGTAAAGGTCAGTTTAATATGGCCTCAGACCAACCCAACAGAAAAATGACAAGATATAAAAAGACAGAGTCACAGAGGAAGGAAGAAAGACAAGGCCCCTGGCTGCTTTGGCTCAGTGGTTAGAATATCGGCCCATGGACTGAAGGGTCTCGGGTTCAATTCCGGTCAAGGGCATGTACCTCGGTTGCAGGCTGGTCCCCTGGCCACACGGGAGGCAACCAATCCATATGTCTTTCTCATACTGATGTTTCTCTCTCTCCTCTCTCCCCTTCCCTCCCATTCTCTCTTAAAAAAAANTGTGTAGGTCACTTTCCTCCCAGCCAGTTGTGGGCTGTGGGAGTCCATGAGCTGCTCCGCCCACAGAGGTCACCGTCCCACACACAGTGCTCAGGGAAGCTTCTTAAACGAGAGCAAAGCCGTCCATACCCTCCAGGACGCAGGCACCTTCTTGGCTTGCCAGGGCTCTTTGGGACACTCCGGTCCAAGAGAAGAAAATTCACTAGAAAAGCTTGAGATGCTTTTCCTGACAAAAATGATGAAGCAGCAGAAACGGCTTTTGATGGGGTACCCCCCACCAAAATTCTTTCTGAACTAAGCAGGGCAGACAAATCCAGAGCTGATCCCAGCTCAGCTTCGGACCCGAAGGAGGGGACAGACAGCTCCAGGCAATCCTGCAGGAAGGACGGTAGGCGGCAGGTATGGAGAGTGAGTGTATCCGGGACGGAGGGTGCTGTCACCCTGCAGAAGTGGGTCAAGAAAGTGGGTTCCCAGAACAATCGGACATGCGGGGAGCAGACAGAGCGGGCCTGGACCCCCACATGGACGGGGGCCACCCACGCTGAAGCTAATCCATACAACTGCCAGCACACAGCAGATGTGCCAAAGCAGGAGTTAACCCAATCCTACGAGGTTCCAGAGGGCGGTGCTGCCAACACTCTGTCCAGATTAGGTAACGGAGGTCTCATGACTTCTCACCTAGCTGTTACATCAGAAAAAAGCAGCATTTCCTCCCAAAGTTGGCAGAGTCCTTCTCCAGGGTTCACAAATTGCCAAGAAACACTGGTTTCTGGGAACTAATGCCAAAACTCAAAACTCCAGCCATAGCTTTTCTAGCCCGGCAGTTTTTGCTACCACCACCCTCCTCCAGAATGTAAAGGTCAGTTTAATATGGCCTCAGACCAACCCAACAGAAAAATGACAAGATATAAAAAGACAGAGTCACAGAGGAAGGAAGAAAGACAAGGCCCCTGGCTGCTTTGGCTCAGTGGTTAGAATATCGGCCCATGGACTGAAGGGTCTCGGGTTCAATTCCGGTCAAGGGCATGTACCTCGGTTGCAGGCTGGTCCCCTGGCCACACGGGAGGCAACCAATCCATATGTCTTTCTCATACTGATGTTTCTCTCTCTCCTCTCTCCCCTTCCCTCCCATTCTCTCTTAAAAAAAATCAATGGGAAAAATATCCTCAGGTGAGGATTAACCAAGAAACCAAAAAAATAAAGGAAGTAAGGAAGAAATCCATCTGGTCAATGCTCCGTGAGAAGATATCTGACCCTACTCATATTTAACATATGCAAATCAGAGGAGGTCTTTCAGATGGTCCAAAATCAAGGCATTTGGGAAAAACCTAGGGCTGGTGTAAATGGGGGGAGCACACCCATCACTCACTGTGAGCGCTCAGCAGTACCTGTCACTCTGCACATACTGGCACAACCCAGCGATTCTACTGCTGTGAGTCCCACGTACGGTGTTACGTCATTAATAGTAACAGGAAGTTAGAAAAAACCCACACATCTGCAGGACTCTGGTTAAGTGAATTACAGACGAGCAACACCACATGATGGAATATTATAAGACTGTTAAAAAAAATGGAGAGGGAGAGGTGGCTCCACAAACTAACATGAAAAGGTATATATTGAGTGAAAAAAAATACGAAAGGTATTTACGACATGAAGCCACTTGTTAAGAATTACATTTACACATATTCTGATAAGCACAAAAAAATTCTGGACTGATTTCCATGCTAGCCAAGCAAGGTTCATCCACAGGCCCAGCCTGGGACCAGGCCTGGGGAGGGGGACCCTCACTTCTCATCACATGTATTTCCACAGGGTGGGTTTCTGAGTGTCATTTTCTACATGTGCATGCATTACTTCAATGTTAATTTGTAAGGACCTCAGAGAATAGAAAACTCTGACTTGCTCAGTGTCAAGGTCTTCCTGTCACTGAACCTGCTGAGATACAAGGGGGTAAAGGGGGGGTCAGAGAGGTCAGATGGGTGACGGCTCAGCTCCTCCAGCGTTTTGCAATGCTCCGATCTTACAACCCCATGTGATGAGTGTTCTCAGGTCCCTGCCAAGGAGCACAAAGGCCTGGATGGTGGGGGATGGAGACACCTAAACCACTGGGTGGCCAGATCTAGGTCCTGATCCTCTGGTTGGTAACTATTTGACTCATTAATTGAGCTCAGGACTTTTGCTTCCTCTCTTCACATACATGCAGAGCCCTCTGTCCAAGTCTGTCTTCACCAAAAAGAATGCCTTGCTTTTGTGACTCCTGTATGGTGTCCGCCCACTCCACCCCAGCAGTTCATGGAGAGCTAAATACCAGCTGGCCGGTCAAGAGTGCTGCCTACAGATCAGGGCCTAAGAATGCAGGCCGTTGGTGTTCAGATCCCAGCTGCCCCACCCACTATCCTGCAACCTCTCAGCACCTCAGTTTTGAATCTATAAAATGGGATGATATTAACATTGTCCAACCTCACAGGACTGCTGTGAGGCTGGATACATAAAGTACTTTTCCGAGGACATGCACAGATGACAGCCAGGTGCTCCTCATGTGGTCACAAATGGCTCCTGGCAAAGGCTGGACTTGGAATTAAGGCTCCTGCCTGACAGTGCTTTGCACGTATCAACTATTTTAAATGCACCTTCCCAAAAACACAGGAGCAAAGAATACTACTGGTTAAAATGAATACAGAAATATTAGAAGGGTATGTTAATATTCCATATTCCAACAGGGTGGTAATACATTTCCATTTGTCCAAACACTGGAACCCAAAGGCAACCCCAAATTGGGCAGCACTCTACCATCACGCTCAGTTCACTGGCAGGAGACTCTCTTGCCAAAGCAGTTACTGGGAGTAAGCCTTGTTGAGCGATGGTGCCCAGTTACCCCATGGCTTCTGTGGAGTGCATCTTTCGTAAACTAATGGTTTATGCCTAGTGAGACCCAAGAACGCAGAGGAAGACTTCACCAAAGAGGGACAGCACCTGCCTCCAAGGAGACAGGGACTTCCTGGAAACAAGGCACACCAGGCATGTGTGCTGCCCGGTCCCAGAAGCAGCTGCCAACAGGAGTGTCGCCATCAATCGTGGGGTCTGTGGGTCAGCTCCATGAGCCATGCAGAGGACGTCACGCATGCTCCGGAGCAGACAAACTACCCAGAGCCACGACTCGGGGCAAACGGCCTGTAGCTTTATTCTGGAAAACGCCAGCACTTAGAACCAGCAAAACATTCTAAGTCGGTGCAGGAAACACAAAACCTGGTCAGTGGCTTGAGACGTGTGGCCGTGGCCGCCGCATGGAAAAGCTCCCTGCTCCTCGCCAGGCTGAGCCCTGTCCGTTTGCCTGCACCCAACTTCTCAGGTGGAGAGGGGACATCTTTCCATCTGAAGAATCAGGAGATCCTTCCAGTCCCTCACCTGGGCCCCCAAGTTCTCTCCCGTGCATGAAGACGCAGCAGGTGTGCCCCCCTCCCCGCAGCCCAGTCTTTTCTACAATGATGAGGGTTGTGGGGTTTTTTTTTGGTAACCAAGACCAGGGTCCCAGAGCCAGGCCTCAGACCTGCTCTGCGCGGCTGGACGCACCAACAGGAATGAAAGCTCAAGGCAAACGCCTGCACACGAAAACGCTGGATGGTCCAACAAACGTTGGCAAACAGGAAGCAGTTTCAAGACACAGACACAAAAAATGAACCCTTACATCTTCCAGCACTTCTGGGGGGGGGCGAGGGGGGGGAAAGAAGTGTACTTATTCCTCCGTTACCTGTACATTTTCCTCAGCTGCTTACTTATATTCTTAGGGCCCAAATTATGGAGCATAAGAAGGTGAATGGCAAATTTCACTGCCATTCCCCCACCAGAAAAATGACCGCCTCTTCAAGCTCATCTTTCCAAAACACTCCTTAGCGTCCTGGGGAAACTATGGGGCTCCAAACGCTCTGGGAATGAACACCTCGTTCCTGTGAGCTCAGGGCGCCTGGGCAGTGGGCGACCACAGGGCGGACACCGGCTGCGTGGAAGGCTACTCACCAAACACTGCTTTTCGCGACACGTTTTCCCCGCTTTCCCCCAAATAAAACTATCTGCCGGGCAGCTGAGGGAACGAGCCAGGCCCTGCGCCCGCCGGCTGCAGGTGCTCGAGGGCCTGGCCGT